ACAAATCTAAAATAGTGATAATTTCTATCAAAACTCATTTACCTTTAAGGATCTCTGTGGTAACGTTCGACTAATCAGCAAATTTCTCGAGAGGCCACTGTCAGATAAAATTATCTGTAAAATCGCCCACCAGTGTACGTTTGCTGAAATGAAGAAACAGTCAAGCTCTTATATCCTCTCGGCATATGCTACCAAACCAAACTTGCTTCGCAAGGGTTAGATTGGAGAGTGAAAGAGCTTTTTCAGTAAAGAATTAAACAAGCAATTTGACAAGACATTCTTGACGAAATTACACGGGTCTGGGCTGCATTTTGACATACAATAACGCACATTGATTGGTTTTCAAACGAAAATTAATCCCTTTAGTGTAGTGCTTCATCGTATTTGTAATTCTTCAGGCTATTGCGTAGCTGGGCCAAGCAATCTCTTTTCTCTGGAGTTTCTGAGTAGCATGGATGAAGAGGAATAGGAGCGGAGCGTTGCGTTTCATAGCATTTATCTCTTTCGCTTTCTTTCCACTCTTTTCAAACTTATCGGCAAGTGAGCATTATCCCTGAAAAACACTAAGTTCTCTTTACTTTATTACAATGAGATCTAAGGAAGCGAGTGGGGAGAATAACTAATCTTAGTCTTGAGTACGTACCTCCGAGAGCTGGACCAAACACAGATACGACATTTGTAATACTCTGATAGAAACCAAACCCACGATCGCGATGAGTTCCTTTAAAACCAAACATGGATGCAACACACATGGCGCTGAACATGGTACCGTCTGTACATCCATACAATAGGAAATAAAGCACAAAATAAATGTATCATTTTGCGAGCAGAAGAACCAAAGAAGCAATTCCCTCCGCAACCGCGGCGATCTGGAAGAGAAAGTGCGCTTGAATCCATTTGATGTTACAGAGACGGCCGATCACAGGACGAATTAACAATGACGTCACACCGCTGTAGATACAAAGTTTGGAAGATTTATTTGCATATATCCCTAGTGTCTCGCAGTAAGGAACCTGTAAAAAAAATTTAATAAAATTTTAGTTAAGCATATTGTTGCTAAACGATTTTTACTCGCTAATATCTCGATTGGTTCACAGTAGTGGCTTAATCGCTGTTTGAAGGAAACTCAGCCAACAAAATATTTCACCTGGTTCCCAGGGTCTCTCATCTTCCCATCCCCTCTCTTCTCGGGAACGAGGTTGGGAACCTTATCGGTAACAGAATAGCGATGCAGCTTAGCGATCTTTCATTGTTTATTGCCTGGGGAGGGTGGGTTGGGCACTTTCTTTGTGTCACGATAAAATTTACCTGACCTCCCAAAGGATCTATAATATTCTTATAATCCTCCCTCATTGGCAACTTCGTTTCCAAGAAGAGTGAGAGAAGAGAGGGATTGGGAAGACGAGAGACCCTGGGAACAAGGTTGCCTCATTGGCACTTAAATGGAAGTCAATTCAGTTTTTCATGGTGCCCCCTATATACTCTGTTAGCGACGGCTGATCCCCCACTTCTGTAGAAAATCCCTTTCGTTTTTTAATTTCAATTCCTTTTTTTCCTTCCCCACCCCTTGGAGTTGATTCTTGTTTTCACACGTGGCGCGCGTGATTCTGTGAATTAAAAAATCATTGGTTGAGTCAAGGATACTTTCTTTTTTTCCACACATTTTAAGCACCATTAAGACATTTCAGTGAAAGGTGGATTACTCTTTGGAACGTCAAGATGCTAGTTTCTGTGCTAACCTATCGCTAAAACAGCAAATCAGGAAAAAAAAATTCTACATCTCTTCAGGGTCGCTCAAGGTCACTCATGAGAGTTAAAGGGTCAAGATGAAGTAAAACTTGTTTTATCCGTCGCTTTCGGCGGACGGGAGTTAAATGAATCGGTTTTTTACCGCAATTGGTAGTAATGTCGCAATCTGATTGGCCAATTTGCCGATGTCAATAAGTACAGACAACGCTGCTCTCGTCAACGTGTCACGCAATGGTCACGTAATGACAGAATCATTTTAATCGACGTCGATATTGTGGTATCGCCTGCGACTCGTGAGTCCACAAAATTTTGACCACTGTAATGACGAATATTAAAAAAAAGGTATAACCCTTATTTTAAGAGGGTGACACCAGTTACTTCGAAAAGTATTCTTTCTTGTGGCCCTCTAAAAAAAATTGATAATAAAAAGCCAATTTACAAATAGTAATTATAACAAAAATCATAAAAATTCTTGTATTCTCCCTCCCAAGTTGCCTCTCTATAAACAAAATAATTTGAATATATCGACAAGGTTGAAATGGTAAATTGGCCACCGTTATGAATAGAGGAATTGTGGGTTGTGTGTGCTTTTAAAGGCAGAAAATGGAGCTACGTGATTGGTGGGAACATGGCAACGAGAAAAGCACAAATAAATTAGTGGAATGAAAAGCGTTCGTTGATACCTGTGGGATTTAGACTGCCGGTTTGAAAGATGAGTTTTTGTTCAAGAGTTTTACGGCTTTCCGTGCTACTGAGTGTAAGGA